TTTAGGAGTTTTATTGGGGTGAGTCACTTAATTTTAATAACTTCTGTAACGTTGGTTAGTTGTTTTTACTTGCTTCTGTTATAAAAAGTATTGTTAGAGTCTAAAAATAGATGTTTCAACAGAAATGTTATAGATTTTTGTATCAGAAGAAAGTAAATTAAGTTTGTCATTTTAATAGAGCTTTCGTCGTAAAGCTGCAAAAAATATTAAACAATATCATGTTCCTTTTATCGTCTCGAGTTTTCTGTAACCTAATAAATAATGCAGGATTCTTTAACAAGTTTCAATTCGTTATTGTTGGTATCGTAATTTTAAAACGGATCCGATCGGTGATTAATATTTATAAGACCCTTGAGACTAGTTTGTGAAAATTTATTTATACTTAGATAAATTTTACGTTATTTTTTTTATGACAAAGAGTAGCCAGTGGTATAAAATATATACAGACTATATAAACATATAGTCTGTATAAATAATAAAACAAATGTATCGTATATCGACTCGGTATACTTATATGAGCAAAAAACCTCTAACATTACTTTCGTGTAATCTAAACCACATTCCAAATATTTTTTTCTATACCTGATCAACCTCAAAGGGTTTTTGAAGATTGGAAAACGAGTACGCGGTACTTTCGGTTTTTCTCTTTTAAGAACTTTTCGTTTTGAAGCTACTCCAATATTTGTAATTAAAACGCGTACCTCTATAACTATATTCTACAGTTTGGCACTAAAAGATTTGAACTGTGAAGTAAGTTATTTTACTATCTATTCATTATTGATTTAAGATTGTATTCGTCATGTCCCCTACCTTATCCTACTCCCGTAGGGTCGGCGCTCCGGGTTTTCGTCCTCGAAATAACTCTATCATCTTAGTCATCTCTCTGAAGATTTAAGATTTTACTCAGTATCTTAATTACTTATATATTTTTTTTATACTCGATAACTATTTATTGTGCAATCGACTAAATTTCTCAAAGCTAACATTGAAATACTGTTGACTTTAACAGCAAATTATTGACTGAAGATCAAGTAAATGAAACCTTAAACTTAGTATCCAGAATATGTACACGTTATCGATTGCTATAAAATGTTTACCCCTTCACAAGTTAATGTAGTGATTTGTTTATGCCAATATGAAAGGTTGATGTACAGTTGTGTTTACATCGCTCCGTACCCGTCGCATGACTTCCTTCTCCAACAGTCGCAGTACACGTGATAGATTACGTTCGGTATATTGTAATACGAAACGCAACGTCATAGCTTACTCTGATTGATTGGAAATTTTACTTAAAATATTCATTTACATTTATAACATAAATCTAGTAGTTTGGCAAAATTTCCTAGAAGGGTTTTAGAGGATTGTTTTTAATGGTTACTATATATCGGTTTACCCTAACTTAGGGTTGGCTTCGAGCCCCTCGGTGAGGACGTATAGTAAGCTGGTATTGATATATCGTTCATGGACCAACCAACTGAATTTGTTGGTGTTTTGGTTGATAAAATTGTAAACGAAATTAATACTGGCACATATAGAACCGTATCACTGTTTAGTAGGCCAACGATGATGAAATATTTCGATATATATAACAAAATACTTTTAGAAAATATTTTTATAACTTGACAATTGTTAAGGAGTTTCAGCAATTAGTTGCTTTCTTTTTATTATTTATCGCGCTTTGATCAAAGACACTTTGACTGGAAACTGGCCAATGTTGATTTTAGCTGGAGCCGATTGAAATCGAGAACGTTCGCGAATATATCCGTTACACTGTGGATTTATTTTAACTTAAAAAATTAATGAATAACGCATTCCAATTTAATAGAGTGGAAAAATATTAAAAGTTTATAATTCTACTCTATTTTAATTACATTAAACCTCTCTTGTTAATTTAATACATTAAACATAATTAAATACAATATAATAAAATCCAAACATTGTTAGGATACCGTTGTCCCTACGGAAATTATAAATTCAAGTAATATCAATCAATTAAGACGAAATAAACGCAACCCGTAACAAAACCCTTTTAAATCTTACGCATATATCCATACCATTCCGAAATAAAATGTTAAAGAAAAAAGGAATAATCAATTATTATTTAGAATGCCAACTGCTGAACTCGGTCAGTAAAAATATCCCTTAGTGTTTATTAAGTTTACAAACTCTTAGTACAACGTCAATGTTAGTAAATCTTATAAACTTTGTTGTTGCAATATTAAATCGTTTAAAGAAAACAGTGTAAAGAAACTTTTGATCACACTCAACGATTTCCTGTGGACTCGTAAATTTTGACGAGCAAATGTAGCGAATTCAGTGAGGGCCCTCGGGTAAATACCTCCGCCGTGAATAGGGTCGACACTTCGCAGAGGTTCTTGTATAGACATCGTTGCTGAGATAAGCACGTAGCAGATATTTATTGAAACTAGATTAATATTTACTTTATTCATATAATAGCTGTCGCCCGCGACTACGTCCACGCAATATTAAGATAAAAAAGTAACATATGTCTGTTTATGTCAGGTACCCTTCAGCAAAAGTCCGGTCGAAATCGGCCCAGTGATTTGAAGATTACCCAGAACTAACGTGGCTTACGGACAGACAGACAGACAAAAAAAATTAAATGCGATTATCATTATCAGCAACGCTTATACACAATTTCCCCGAAATTTGTTTTTTTTTTATGTTACAAACAGACTCCCCAATTTTATTACATGTATAATCTTACAGCATAAACATAGCAGAGATAGAAAAGACCATCAAAATTATTTAACCGTTTTGTTTAATTTGTAAAGTTAGACACAAAAAAGCAAAAATAAACACTCAATAGAAAAGCCACAAGTAAACTCTTTCCTGATTAAAGGCATTCCGTTAAACGCTGATTAAAGGTTGCGTTTTTCTCTGTTGAAAGATTATTATCTATTAAACGTAATAACAACGTATTACAGTTAATATTTTGTTGCAGCCACGTTTTTATTTTGCTTTCATAATTTTCACTTTTATGGACATTTCAATCAGTGTTAAATAAATTATTACTCCGTACTATAATTTGTGATTTTCATTCTGTCCATAAATGTATTTAAATTAGCCTCACGTGACTGCATTGTAATGAAATAGCCAGAAGGGTTAACTTTGATATCAAAATGATAAACAAGAAAGGATAGTAATTGAGTAAACTATAGAACTAGTAAATCAATTTTAATGCATATAACGTTTTAAATACGAACCGGTTGTTTACATGAACGTAAAGTTTAGTTAATACGTAGTTTGTGATGTGTACCTTTGCTATGAGAAGGGAAACTTATAAGAAGTCTTTGTTTACTTGCCAAAAAGCTTTCTTAATGAAACGAGTGTTGTCTTAATAAGCATCACTTCGGTTGTATTTAATGATCGCGACCGTGTAAGTGGTCCTTGCAAGGGCAGGCCACAGACTTGACAGACTGCCAATTATTGAACGATAGATGTCGCTGTTCAATGTCAACCAACACTTACTGCCACTTGCTTCTGTCGTCCACCAAGATATGCACATATTAGGTGCAATGTTTATTATGGTTTTTATAATTTGTTTGAAATTTTTTGTGAATAGATGCGCTCAATCTGAAGCGTTTTTATAATCTGAAATCCCTTTTCCTAATAGCGTTTTCTTTTGTTTGGTAGTTTCCGTGCTTTTGTTTGTGTTTCAAAGTCTCTGGGGTGGTAGAGATTATCTATTCATCCGTTAAATTATCAAAATTCTCATAATCAATTAATGCAGTCTAAGTCTTTTGTTTTTAAAACAACTCTTGCGTCATAAAATTCGGTCTATTTCGATTTCTTAATCACAATCTCGCATTATTCCTATTTTAATCCGCAGTTATTTCTTATCCGTATTAAATGGAAATGCGATGGAACAGGCTTCAATAAACAGGTCATCAAAATAAAACGCAAGACGGCTCCTAAAGGGGCTCTAAATTGTTTTTGAGAAAATCCATCAGAACCGTTGAAAAAATATGTAAGCAAGCAGGAGAGATTTATTGCGTGAAGGATTATAATCTTAATGGAACAGGGATATATGCTTCAAGACGCAGATAAGAACCTTAATGAAAAAATCTATGTATTTTGAAATATTATTTAGCGATCCTTACTTAAACATCAGTAATCAGAAATATTACAATTAAAGTATGAAAGAATTTTGACCTCAAGTTAATGTACACAACTTTCCAAAAATAATGTTATTAATGGCACTTTCCAGAAAAGCTTAAATTATACAATTTATTTCATACCTCAGCCGTAACAAGTAAATTATATTTCATTTTTGTGACGAACATCTGCGCCCTGTTACAGGACCACATCGCGTTTTACCCAATAGGAAAACCCTACCTCTCACTAAAAATAAATTACTTGTTTCGTCACCACCAGCTGTACCGACCTTGCGAAATAACCAGTACAAATAAAAAATATTAAATCATTTTGTCATCAAAAATCTACTCTATACTCGGTCAAGAAAGAAAACAGTCTTACGAAAAAAAAAACAAAGACTTTGACATCGAAATTATGTCATGATTGACGTAATATGACAAATTTCAAATTAAAATTACAACACCAATCATTTGACAATAAAACTAATCATATAAAATTACAAGAAATTCAATAGTTCAAATTGTAACAAATGGATAAATAATATAATGTGGAAGTTTATACAAAAAAAATTAAAGAAATTAACCTATCTTATTAAATCAACATGCAAAGGTATCCAAGTTAAGGTGGGAGTATCAGTTGCTGGAACATATTTGAACGAATGGTGATACAAACACCTTCCTAATCAAATAAAAGTCATACTACAAATGCAAAGAAGATCTTGTTATGTTTAATTAATTGGGAATAAGTAAAACTGTCGACTAATGGCCACATCAGTGAACACTTCAACTATTTTCAAATGACCAATTGGATTTGGACACAACATCGCATACGAACTCAAGCAAAAATTATACTTTAAATAAATTAACATTAAATCAAGAATAATGTCGGAACCAAACAATGCAGTAATAAAATACTTACCACAGTTCGGTCAAGGTCTGATGGCTGTCGGCTACGTGATGGATCATTTCGGATGCTACGAGGCGCCTCTCCCAAGTGCGTTTATATTACTTGGACATCTGTTTGTGTTATCAGATCCAAGCACACTGTCTTTAGAAAAGCCTAAAGTACGAGTTATAAATATCATATTTTTATTCGGTAACATTTTTTCGTTCGTCTACGATGTCGTAACTACTTTTCCATGTTTCGATTAAAACCGTCTGTAATGCTTAATTTTTACGATATGAAATTGTTAACAGTCCATTAAACGAGATAAATGCAACTGCTTTATTCAAACTAGCTGCCCTTTACGCCGAATTATGATTCGTGTGTCTCGTATTAGATTACCAGTACCTAGCTATGTTATTAAAAATGTTAAAGTAGTAATGCTTAAACGAAAGTTTCGCTAAAAAAAACAGTTAATTCCTGAAGGTTTTAATACTTCATTTCATAAACATTGTAAAAGTTTAAAGTCAAGTATGTTTATCCCGGCGAGTGGCGCTACTATCGGTTAGTCTGTCAGAAAATGTTTAAAACCTACATGGACATAGAAAATCGCATATAAAGAGGGCGCTAGTGCGCTGTCGTAATTAAATTTCACTTATGCCCACCGAGTCAGTCTTGGTCTATGAAATAAAAATCTGTCTTTGATTGTCATCACAAGACAGATAAATCTAAATTTTAATCAATAGAAATGTTTAAAACAATCTAATATTATTCAATCAATAACTAACATTTATATCCAGAAAGTGTGAAAAGATGATTATTTCATATAGAGAAGTTAAGAGTGCAATGCAGTGATAAAATGAAGATACTGTATCCAAAATGTAATCCACAGAAGACGAGTCAAATATCGAATAGGATAAAATTTCATATGCCGGTCAAGAATATTAATTTATCTTTGGCGAAAAATCTGTTAATAATACTAGCGTACACGTTGGCGAATATATTCTCCGGGGAATATCCTTTGATGACAGGATTTATGGTTATTCTGGGCCACCTTTTAGCAATAGCATCTGATTCCTGGTCCGTTTACAGAAATTTAACAAACGCAAATGATTCCCAAGACTGCGCCTCGCATATGTTCTTTGTTATCGCGAATATATTTTCAATAATTGGTGAATATAAAGAAATAGAATCGACATTGATACATCAAGTCATAGTATGAGAGTATGAACAAGTATAATAAAAATGTACAGAAGTTAAAAACAAAGCAAACATTAGTTGCTAAAGTTCGAATTACATACAGGATGCAATCATAATATTACTCAATTATTTACAATATACAAAAATTTTTTAATAGTTTACCTTATTAAATAAAAAAATGAAAAATGAAAATTAAAAACTTGTTTAACTGTTAGTTATATTATCACGAAAACTAGAAAAAAGTAAGTTTTATAAAATTAAGCTAATTAAAAAAATAATATAAAGTTTGTGTATAGAGTGAAATTGACTTTTGATATAAATTGTAATTTATTGAAAAACGTATTTTCTTTGCGAGATAAATTTTAATTGTTTGCATGGCTTGGTCATGTTGACGGGAGAATATTAATTTTCATCTCTTTTACACCAGTTAAGTGGGTTTATGTAGAAAGGACGTGATTAATTTGAAGAATTTTGTTCCGATGTTTTTAAGTCTTTTTATTATACTTATAACCTTAGTCGCCACATTCAGAATCTAATGGTTACTAGTAGATATTTAATGATAATTTCTTGTAATAAATAAACATTCAGAGACTTTCTTAGTCTTCGACTTGGAGTTTTTTTGATTGCGGCAAAACTTTTTTTTTGCTATATTATAAGGTGGCAAACGAGCAAGCGGCCACCTGAATCCACCGAAATGGAAAGCGACCGCTGCCCATAAACATCCGCAATTGCAGATGCGTTGCCTACCTTAATTGACGGAGAAGACGCACATAAAGAGGACATTTCCCCTTCCTATGCGTCTCCTCCACCGCCAAATCCACTTTTCCTTCCCATCCTTTCCTCTTAAGAAAAGGGTGAAAAGGGAAAAGGACTAAAATTAGGCCTCCGGCACCACACTCATCAGACGAAACGCGGAATTGCTTCCACTTCACGCCTGTTTTCTGTGTGGTCGTGGTATTACACTGGACGAGCCGGCCCATTACTACACATGTTCTATTAACTTATTGCTTTTAGTTCTTAAGTTTATATATTTTTTAATAATGGTTATATAATTCTTGCCATCGTATTACATCGTATACATTAATTAGATAAAAAAGAAGAGATTAAAGCGAACACAGCAATATCAGAAGTAGGATCGATGGAGGTTCAAAATGTGCGACACTTTCATGTCGCGGAGGGTGCTCGGCCGAGGTGAGAGTGCTCGGTGCTCCAACGCATCGGACACTTTCATTTTGTCCTTACCATGAATATCAAATCGGGATACTCGCAATATTTCTTGGAAAATGTTTTTGTATTCGATTTTTATTTAGTAACATCTGATACCACTTTTTGAAAGAATCTAAAGATTCTTCAATTGATTATCAATTTATTCGTCAGTGTACTCGTGCAGCTTCGTCCGCATTATTTCACATTTACCCCTAAATAAAGAGATTGAAAGTATATATAGCCTGGACCGTGCCGTAAGGATAGGGTTTATTATTAATAATTATTTGCAAAAATACTGTAATTGCTGACAAATACATAAAAAAAATTTGTGTGTTTGCGCTTTATTCTATTAGTATATATTCTATAATTATATGATCTAGATACCCAAATTGTGTAAAACCATTGACTATAATCTCACGTAAATTAAGTTGACCGCCGATCATTGCAAACATCATTATAATTGTAGATACATTCGATCTCTCGGTACATTTACCTAATATACGAGTATTCTAGTAGCTACTTCCCAACTTATATTGCAGTTATAATATAAAACATGTAGTATACAGTGTAGTGCAAATGTTAAGTAAAGTTTAACAAAGGAATCTAAACAAGGGCGCACTCCCTGTCATCTTAACTTCCGATTACTGGCCGCTGAGAGCGAGGCAGAATTACTAAGCCGTAAGTAACATTTAGGAAACTTCTTTCACTTCAATTAAATGAATAAATTGAAACGAAAGTATTATAAGTAGCACTAAGGGTTAGATGTTACATTTACGAGTATGTACAGTTTGTCCACATGGAATTTAAAATATTTAAAAAAGAACATGCAGACGAATTGCGTACGTCCTTCTTTTCAGAAGTCGGTGAAAAAATATAACCCATGTCACCAAATGATAAGGTCGGTTTTTAAGGTGAAAGAATATTTTAAATCGGCCCAGTTTCTGAGTTATTTCAATGCATTCAAAAATATAAATCTTTCCTTTTTATAATATTAGTATGGATACACGACATTTTTACTGAATATTTAAACTTGTATTTGGTTATGTTTTTTTTGTAACCCATATAGTATGGGTAACCCATATCTAGTGCTTACTTATACTAAGTTTTTACGACATATTAAAGATAATAGTAACTATTATGTTGTGTAAGTACTGTATGTTCGGTTGTCCTACATTAGATTTAGGACTGACTAGGGACGATTTCGATCCGTTTTGTTTATACACCAGAGGATTTTAAACAAGTGAAGTTTATGTAACAAACAAAAAATAAATCGGACATTAGTACACCCGAAATTAGAACACTTTTTGAATTAAAGCGTAATGAGCTACGTAAAAAAATCAGGTTTTACTACTTATCATTTTGATAAAAATCGTAATATTCTAATATTATTAAAATCCTAAACCTTTCAAAACGTTATTCTTAAGCAGTTCTTTAATTAATTTGGTAAGTGCTTTAGACGAAATTGCCCTAAATCTGCGTTTAAATCTGTTGAGCCAACTGAAATACGTTGATGAAAATTCAATAACTTAAAGTAGCATACGCCTACCTCTCGCTAATATAATTACTATTAAGTTAGCATAACTGTTAACTTTAAAAATATATTTATTCACTAGCTTTTGTCCGCGACTTTATCTACGTCTCTATTCTTTTAGACTACATCTATGCCAAATTTAATCGAAATCTGTTCAGCAGTTTAGGCTCCAGTATGTTTGTTAGAGTTTGTAGCCTAAACCATTCATCCATCAAAACTCTCGCATGCATAACATTAGTATAAAATTTAGTTATAATGTAGTTTTCAAAACATCTATTGCCTCACACACAGGAAGAAAATATTCTGCATTTAGTTTAACCGACATCCCAAAAGAAGGTGGAAATTCGTCCGTTTCGTAGGCAATTTTTGTCTCTCGTTCTCCTTCTAATATTAAAAATTTGTAGCAATTTGCTACTTGTATATAGTTTAATGGAAAATGTAGCTCAATATTGTAAAATGCTCAACTAAGTGAAACGAAACACATCGACCCCGAAGAGCGCGCAATCAAGAAACATTCAAAGACGCCAATCACCGCGTGACAATCCAATCGCTACAGCCTATATACTCGTACATAGATGACTCCTGCACCCACTTACGATGTATTAACTATAAATAAATCGTCACGAATAGTTCAGAAGAGTTAGTTATTATAGTTTTTCTTGCGTTGGTAATTTAAATTTGTAAATTAACTATACTATTATAAAGAGGAAAGATTTGCATGTTTATATGTATTTAAATAGCTCAAAAACAACTAGGCCGACTTTAAAAGCTACGTTATCAATGAGTAAAAGGCTATTTTTTTTTTAAATATCATGCAGACGATGTCGTGAGCAACATAGTTTCATATACGTGTTGTCAGTAAATTAATAATTTGAACTATTACTGCCTACTATAAGACTATTAGATATAATAAATCAATTTTCCCTTAGACCAGGATTTGAAAGGGCATTGGAAATACGTTTCATTTCCTCTATTTCGCAGTGACCTTTACCTCGCACTGATTAACTCTGATTAGTGCGAGGCGGGCGAAGCGAACCAAATTATGGATACCGATATGGATGTAAAGTTTACATAGAGATATAGATAATGTAACTAAAATTACGATTTTTCCTGAATTTCGTAACAAGACACGTTTACTATCTTTAACATCTGTTCTCGTTTGGTGATTTTTACATTATATTTGAATAATAAAGTAAATGCAAAAATCCTACTCATGAGTTGTACGATTTTTTTTACATAATTGTACTCACAGTTTGTTATTACCTCATATTCACAGTTTTGATATATTTTTTCCTAGATGTATTCATTGTAAATCTTTAAGACTTAAAAACAAGATACTCCTACCATTGTTACCCTAGATATCGTCCACGATTATGAATGTTCCAACATTTAAATGTAAGTTTTTATATCTAAAGCTTTTAAAAGAAAATAATTATATGAAATACAGACATCCGCTGTTTAACATAACTCAAATATGATAGTAAAATACTGGGCTCGATGCCAAAGTTTTAGTGTACCGTCTTGTAAAATCAAAACCGCTAACGTTGCAGTATTAAATGTTCAATATAGTACATGATACATGCAATTATATTAAATGCATATTCAACTTCAGCGATTACACAAAATGCTGATTCAGTTCCAATAGTTACGGACCTCATTGTTTCTTGGGCAATCTATACTTTACAATATTTAAGGCTTTCAGACTGAAATGGAACTAAAAATGTAATATTTCTGTCAACAGTTGCTTGAAAGCTGACGCAAAAGGAGCAATTTATTTGACAACTAAAAACGGAACATTTCCCATATCACTCACCTCTCTGAATTCCCAAGACGACGTGACGCAAGACGCTGCAAGGATTTTCTCAGCAACCACTAAAAATGTCACAAGTCTCCAGTGGGATGACATCGCCGATGATATATTGTTCTCGAATTCAAACGAAACACAAGATTACGACAATATGTGGAAAAACAATCAAAAAAGAAGCATCAATGACGCAGTGTCAAAGAATATTACACTAGTTTTAGAGAACTTGTTGAAAAATTACGAAAATTCTCAACTACCTACACATGGAAAAGGTATGTAAAAACTGTATAGTTTGTCTTTGAGGAATTTTATTTAGACTAAAAATAGCATCACAACGAAGAATACTTACTTATATTTTAAAAAATATGTCATATATTTCAAAAGAAGAAATATTTATAAATTCAATCAATTTCCTTCTCTTTAAATACAATCATAACAAAAGTTTTTACCTTGGCCAGTACTGAAGCGCTATCGATGTCAATGCGTTATTTGTTTCATAAATATTAAAATAAAATCAAACGCGATTGTTCTCGATATTTGTATAAAAGCGTTCTATTCAAATTCAATCACATCTAGATCGTGCAAAAATCTGCATACTTAAGCCGCGCATATACGAGTTATCGACAATATTTTGTTAAGAGACCATCATTTTACATCACTAACAACCTTTAAGCCAAAGTCAACAAACGATTGTAGGTAGGAAGGTAGAATTTATGATGTTGTTGCTAGCTGGAACTTGTCCTAACGATATTTTATTTTGCAGGCTACCCAACAGTCGTCCAAACAAACATTTTAATCAGAAGTATGGGTCCAGTATCCGAGCTCGATATGGTCAGTAAAATATAAACATTGTAGATAAACAAATCCGATTATTTTATAAGGACATTATCTAGAAATCATTCCACAAATCGCGTTGGAAATATTTCGTAACGGTCCACTAAATATTATACGTTCAAAAGGAATAAGTTTTTCTCCTCAATACTCTTTTCCGTTCAGTAAGTTTCATACCTTTTATTTTCGCGTAATGGCTTTACTAAAGAATACATATTCATGTCAATATTGTACATATTTAAAAGTAAGAATAAAAAAATCTGACCTGATTTAGCATATTCAACTATGCTTCGAGTCACTCACGGGCCTTAGCGATGTTAGCTACTTTGTCGTAAACGTTTTCTTTGTAACTCCAAATATGCGAAACGTTTCGCCGCAATTCCTTAACCTTGTAACATATTTTCCGTTCTCACAGGATTACTCAATGGATTGTTACTTCAGGCAGTACTGGCGGGACACGCGCCTCTCGTTCCTCGGGCCCATTCGCTCCTTGTCCCTGTCTATCAAAATGCTGGAGAGAATATGGCGGCCCGACACGTACTTCTACAACGGAAAGCACTCCTACGTCCACACTATTACTGTTCCCAATAAACTTTTACGTATCAGTCAACATGGAGATATATTGTATTCTATGAGGTTTGTTTTTTGAAATCTTATTAACTATATTTAAACCGTCATAAGGTTACCGCTATAAGGGATAAGGATGTCTTAACATAATTGTAAGTTATAGTGAGTGATAAATAATGAAAAAAAAAATAAAACAAGCTATTTTATTCTAGGAGTTATTAAAAGAAAAATCTAATCAAGATCTTATAGATGGTCTATAATTAATTTCATAGAGTTATTAATCAAGATGGCGTCCCATTTTTAATTGGCTGTATGCAAAATGAAAAATTCTCAGCTCTTGTTACAAGAGACACTTGTTCATTTGGTCACAAATTGCTATGAATCTCATTTAAGAATTAATTAGTATTAAAATTCTTAATATTAATGTGTAATTTTGTATTTTATTAATGAAGAGAATTATTATTCATTAAAATTAATTAAGCTTTCATAATTAGTTATAATAACCAGAGAATATTTTGAAGATTTTGGATATCGTTTTATTACATCTAGCACACGGAGACAAGATCGATTAAAAGATTTTTTTTAATTCAAATTTCAATCACAATAAATTGAATATCTGTATCGATATCGAACATTCTAAATTTAAACTCGACGAACGTATAATCGCTTTAAAAGGAATTGGTTCGATATGCCAGTACTACTGTAGCACACAATAGAGCTTACGTAGGATTTGAACGTAATCCTTTCACAAAACTCATTTCAGCATCACTAAATGAGGCAGTTCCGTTTAACACAGTCGTAATTTACAGATTGACGATCAAAGCGAAATGTCCAATGGAGTTACGTAATTTTCCAATGGACAGACAGTCGTGTCCCCTTATCCTCGGAAGCTGTAAGTATTGTGTTTATTTTTAACGACGAAATTAGCAAAGAACATTTAATTTCACAACTATTATCGTAGCCTTTCAATCTTATATTTAACACTAACTTTCGCTCGCGACTCTGTCTGCGTGGAATTTAAAAAAAAAACATAAACAAATAGCCTATGTGTTCCAGAGTATCCTCTACATCTATGGCAAATTTAATCCAGAACCGTTAAGTAGTTTAGGCTACAAAGTCTAACAAACATCCATCCATCTAAACTTTCGCATTTTGTGAAACCCGTACTGTGGTACGAGAACAAAGTCTTTACATAGTTTCATTTTTTTTCTAGACGCGTATTCAAACCAGCAACTAGTGTACCAATGGCAGAACAGTCAGAGCGTTAACTTCGTGCCGGGCATGACGCTCTCTCAGTTCGACCTCATCAGCTTCCCTTATCGGAACTTCACCTTCACAAGGAGAGAAGGTTAGTATACAACATTAATTATGGGTTTGTCCCACATTCAAAATACGATAAGCTTACGTCTTGTCAATTTATCTGGTCAAAACTTTGTATAGTACACAACGCTTGAGTTGGCACACCAGGTAGAAGCGTAATTTTGTTTCAGACATGCCAAAATCTGAGTACTTTTATTGAATAATTACTTTCATTTTCATTGCACAACATTCGATTATTTTTAAATCGACATACATTTTCATTATACACTTTTGGTAACAGAAGCAACGTACATATCTACGCCTTTTAATAATAGTATTTCAATAGGTTTCTACAGATATAATTTCTGCTACATGTGTTGAAGTAGACAAGGGTGACGAACTCGTTTATTACGTCGCCTATACAAATACTTCGTGGTAACATAATTTTCTTATTAACGTTACTATAGATGTTTTTGTCTGGACAAAAGATTATTGATTGCGAAAAGGTGGAGCAATGTTAGCGACCGATATTTCTTTACTTCAATCGGTACGGATAACTTATGTTACCTTATTGTTGTATTGAGACCAAATAATTATATCTATTCTTACTTGATTGTAACTTATTTTACTAAAGAATCAATTACGTCTCCAATATTTAAGACATTTTACAACAACAAAAGATAAAATCATATAAACGGTAATCTTTATAATTATCCTTAACTCCACAAACTTAACAATCTTCAAGACAAAATCATATAAACGGTAATCTTTATAATTATCCTTAACTCCACAAACTTAACAATCTTCAAGGCACTTAGTAAGCCTTGAGCCACTAACTATTCGCGAAAGCCGCAGAAACTTTCTTCGGTCACGATAATTTGTACTTTCATGACTTCTATCCTTAATTTTTCTTTTTACCTGAACTTTATTAGTAAACAAAATTACCATACATATTCAAAAAAATATTAACCAATTATTTACGTTTACGTCATGCCCTCTCTTGCCTTTTACCCGATATTTTTATCGCAATTCTTGTTGACGTAATATTCCTAAAAGCTTTTTAAATGAGCGTTCTAACCTTACAAAGCGTTTACACATTTTTTGATTTCCAATATAAAATATTATCTGATTTTTCTTCCCCTAAGAGCAAATGTATAGTATACGACAGGACTTACTGCATCGACACGAATCGGCTTTTACGCTTCGCGGGCATACATTTTATGTCATTTGAAAAGACTTGCGGCGAAAAATGTTATCGATTTAAAGGGGAATTTGGTCTTAGGTGGTATTTAATAATCGCACTGACAGGCCATTTACCTAATAAGCCGACGTTTTAACTTTGTGCAAATGTCTATTGGCTAATTGGCAGCGGTCACTTCCATGTTTTAGATAAAATTCCTCCTTGCTTACATTTTACTACTAAACGTAACCTGTGTTACTCATAGGCAACATTAAAACATTGTGATTTTTTAACGCCGTGGTCTAAAAATATGTTGTTTATTAATAGTTCCTCAACATTAGTAATAATAAAATATCATACTTAACAGCCTAGACCGATGACGTTAAAATTGCTAATGCGGCACAGTACGATCGTCTCGAATTACTAGTTTCTATACATTTTAGTACTATCAACAATAATGAGAACACTTAGTAGACGTGTTTCCTTTCACAGGAGATTTCTCCGTGCTGCAAGTATCGTTCAATCTGCAACGGCACACGGGCTATTTCCTCATACAAGTTTACGTGCCTTGTATCCTCATTGTCGTGCTGTCTTGGGTTTCATTTTGGATTCATAGGGAGGTACGTAAATAAACGTAATGTTTTATTTTCTTATGTCAATAGAACTTAGATTCGGCTTCACATTCAAACGACTAATTCGGCTGTTTCTCGGTGCTACATCTATACGAAATTTCGTTTCTAACTTTTATTCAAACGTTTTTTCAATTGTGATGAGTCTATGCGAAGAATAAAAGTGTTATTTAAGTTTTTCATTCCATGTATTTCACGTTCCAGGCAACATCAGATCGTGTAGGCCTGGGCATAACAACAGTTTTGACTCTGTCTACAATCAGCTTAGATTCCCGCACTGATCTGCCCAAAGTTCGTTACGCGACTGCCCTTGATTGGTTTCTGCTGATGAGTTTCTTCTACTGCATTGCCACTTTGTTGGAATTTGCTGGAGTACACTACTTCACCAAGGTAAACAATAACAGTAAAAATTCTCTTCTGCCTAGAGTTTTAGGCAGGCAGGCATTTGATTTGGTATGTATTTCCGAAATTTAGGAACTCTTGTTTGGTGTGCCTGAAGAAACGGGTGTAATTAGAAATTTTAACAAAAATATTATGTATACGACTTTGCAAGTAAAGTCTTATCATTTTTCAGGTTGGCTCTGGTGAAATTGTAATCGATGATGCCGAGTGGGAGGAGCTGATAGAAGAAGTGGGAGGTGACGCGTTCGCGGCCAGGCAACTAGCGGCGCGACGTCGAAGCTCTTCAAGATCTGCTACTAATTGTGTAAGCAAACTATCTTGCCCCTTTACCCTACGAAGCATTATATGTATACTACTCTTTCAAACTAGCTATTACAAGTTAGTCTTTATTCAAAAAACAGATAGGCAACTACGTACAATTTTATTTACAGAATTTCTCTCTACCGTCACAAGGGGCGTGCGGTAGCGAAGGCGAGGATCTACCCGCACCTGAACAGACATCAGTGCGACTGACCATGGAGCGCACCACGCAGACGGAGAGACGTGTCCCGCGCTGGAGGCAGCTGCTCTACTGCCTCGCGGGGGATGACCGCTATCGCAGGCAGAGACAGATTGAGGCCGGTCAGTAAACTATCGAGTCAGACAAATAATTTGAAGTCTTAATTATCCACGTAATCATCTTGGATTGAATATAAACCTTGGTCAGCTTTGAATTATTCAACTTAAAGATTATGTGCCATAGAAGTATTTGAGTAAATGTGTTATTATTTTGTAATCTACTTCTTCGAAATTTTCTTTCTAAAATGAAATTAGTCCTATACATATATACATAGTCCTTTGAAGCTTCCTTAATCATATCTTTTTTTACTCTTTGTTTAGGTAAGCGTGGCCACATTAACAGCGTGTCGCACATCGACAGGGCTGCGCGGGTGCTGTTCCCTGCCTCGTTCGCGCTGCTCAATCTCTTCTACTGGATGATCTACGCGTTATCCAGCGACGATTTCGCCTGGAGCGACAACCCTATCAACACTCTATCGCATTAATATTACTTTAATAGTAGCCGTAATATAATAAAAGTAGTATTTAGATATAGTAATGTAAGATGTTATAAATCTATTACACAGGTAGCTATGTATCTTATAAGCATTACGTTAACATCACATCTAAAAAACAAGTTAAGCAAGTACAAAATTTGTGTATACGATAGTCACATTCTCATCGACGGATTTATGAATGTCTTTTTTATATTCATATATTATTACCTGATATAATAAAACTAAATATAACTATATTATTGATATTTAATAAAACTCGATTCAGATCATCATATAATATATTAGGTCTCATTATGGGATAAAACGAAGGGTTTGGAGTATGCTCTCTAAATACACAATACAATATAGACAATGTAACGCATTAAAATAACTGTCCCCTCATCTTAGAAAACTCTTACATCGACTTCAAAGGTGTTAATTAGAGACCAAATAACCTTAAATAGTTATCATAGCCATTGATATTATTAACCTCAAATAAAGTTCGCACAAACGAATTTGCATGAAAAATGTTAAGCTAATGTCACACGTGAAAATTTAAGAAGGCTCAACTCACTTTTATTTTCGGATGACAGCACCGACTATTTTCGTAGCCATCGGGGGTCCATCATCAGACCGAGTATTACTTAGCTTCGTTCGCGGTCGTGCCACCCACTCAGAGCTAATACTAGCCCATAAGATGGACACCCGATAAGTCCAAAACTAGTCAGTGCCGTTAACAGAAAAAGTGACTTGAGCCATCTTTAATTTTCACTCAAGATAATGTCTCACGAAAGAAAGAGAACATATTTTGTGTGTGATAACGAACTCTGATAAGAACCTTTGAAGTCAATCTTTGTCAACGTAGACAATAAAGCAACTACACTATTATAAATCCAGTCTACATTTGTGCTAAACAGAAGTATACCTTACGTTATATAGTCTTATATATCATAATAGCATATCAAAAATGGCATACATTGGCACGCGAAATTAGCAACTGATTTGAGCACTAACCAATGCACATTAATAAATTTTCATTGTTTTTTTCAGTACGTGTCAACGATATTTTCATTGAAATAATCTGATTACTTTATTCGAGTCGATATGTAAAATTATACATTTAAAATTTTAATCATAAAGCTACAACAAAACTATTTACAATAAACTAGCAACATTGCACATAGAAGATATCTAGAAATGAAAGTTCTTAAACTTATCGAAGTAAAAAAACAATAAATAAAATATTATGTCACCTCTACAAATACACATATATAGTTATATGAATGCAATCTATTGTATTTATTGATGTATCAAAATGTGTAAATTGCTATGTCCAAAATGAGGGAATATAATTTATTCGATGTCAATATATTAAATGAATCTATATTAGATATTTTAAAGCAACTATGACAACTCTAGTAATTTGTAGAGATTAGACTAAAATGTATAGAAAAATCTACTATATCCCAAATTTACTTTGACACTTTTTAGGTTATGTTTCTCAAGTATGTGAGTATAACAACTTTTTCCCCTTCTTTTCAGTGTATTTTAATCACCATATTTAAGCAAATGAGAAACATAACCTCAAAATATGTCCATTTTCTCGCACTTTTTCATTTAGTTGATACATTTATTATCTGTAGAGAGCACGAATCCGCATAAATATACTTAAAGTTATTTCTGATTTGGTCCAATAATGTTTATAAATACAATTGATAACATTATCAAAGCCGTTGACATAAATAGTTTTAAGTAGAAAATAGACAATTTCAAGGCAAATTGTTAATACAAGTGGAATGTATAGTAAGGCTTCCTCTTCATAAGTCAGAAAAACTACATACATGTAGAAGACAGAACATTCTCTAAGAGTTAGGATCATTCTAGAACATTTATACACATTTCACTAATAAATTAATAATCACTACGATAACTCACAATAAATATTTTTTCCCCATTTTGATGTTATTATTTACGAATCTCTTACGACTCGTTTTAAAGTACATTTTTATAACCTAATTTGTCACAGACCATTAAATTGGCGCGAAAAATGAATCATAGACGAAGCATCAATTACTTGATCTTCGTTTCAATGTTGGCTCAAAAGCTATAGCTTTATAAATGACAAAAAAATCACTCAATAAAAAAATTGACACTAAAAATGTATCGCCCGTAAGCCCACTTTATTATATCGTATATAAATAACTACAGCTACCATAGTATTAAGTTGACGTCACAAAAGTAAATTCACACTTTTAGCACAGAATATGTTTTTTTTTTTAAAGAAGCAGTCTCATTTATTGTAAAACATGCGTACGACAGCAAACTGAATAAAAACAAAATGTTATACCTTGTTATAGATTATTGTATACCCCTGTAAGGTCGTTTAAAACAGTAGTTTTAATAGGATTTTGTAGATATTTCCTTGAGAATTTATCACACTACATATTAGATAAGAAGTCTTGTTTTTCAATGTTATAGATTAAGTAGATAATTTAACGATACGTTTTCTTAAAAAAAAAAACTACGTATGTAAAAAAAATCAATAAATCGATATTGATTTCACCATAAATATAGTAAAAAAGCTGCCAGAATTACCACACAACACATAAATATTAAGCAGTTGAAATAAAAAAAAATAAAAAAAATGGACAAGCATTACATATAATAGTTATGAGCTACATTTTCACATTTCTACGATCTATTGTAAAAATATTTAGTACCTTGAAATAAATATTGACAAGTTAATGCTACATTACCTACCACAAAGTATAAATAAAATTAATTCGAATTACGTAGCAGTTAGTATCTTTTATGTACAAAATAGTCTCTAATTCGATATAAATAAAACATACATTTTCTATACAAATCTCACTACATACGATTAGTTCGTTTAATAATAAATATACTAAATAAACCGTATTTCAAATCGAACGATTTACCTCTCGAATAGAAATATAAATATATTTTTATTATATCCACAATATCTCTGCATAGATTATGGCAACTCTGAAAAAAAAACTATGGCATCGCTTTTTAATACAAGACGTAAGGGTTGTCAATGTTGCCATGTTCAAAAATTACGATTTTTTGCCAAATTATTGCAAAGATATTGTAATTAAAATAATTACCACAGAACAATGGATATCAGAATACCCATGTGTCAGACTAGAGTACTGATCGCAAACAGGCAAGGATTACTAAGCACTTTTTCTACTATAGAAGAAATCACAGAGGAAGTTTTACCACGATATTACATTAACTATTAAAAACTTTAAAATAGAATAGTTATTGTGCTAAATATAGAGCCGTCCGTATTAAGACTCAAACCACAGACTAAATATCAAAAGACTTCTGGCAATATCGTAGTCTCATTCTAGACGCTTAATTTAATTACATTGATATATGTAAATAGGATTTCACCTACGAGTATTTTTCGTCAAGTCTATCACTTTGAAGTGTATCAAAAACAAGGTATAGACAGGTAGATATTCCTTACCATAAATATAGTATTCCATTTCGTAATGTCAATGTAAAAAATATAAATAATTAAATCACAGATTCTACGCTTTTTAAATATAATTTTCTAATCTAAGAGTCCTTTTTACCAGCAACGAGATATACGTTCATGTCATCTTTACCTTTTACGTAGACCCTGCCGCGAGGTTCAAAGTCGTATTTAACAGAGAGAACTGGGATACAAGCTTCGCCGACCTGGATACGTTTGACAACGCCAGTTGAGTCCATTCTCGACGCTATGTTAACGGCATCGCCCCAAATATCATAGTACAGTTTGGTAGTACCTATGACACCCGCGGTGACGTCACCAAAGTTGTACCCTATTCGTAGAATGAAATCGAACTCGAGCAAATCCTGATTAAAGTTATCTACAACTTTCTGCATTTCAAGCGCAAAGTCCATCAATTGGTACAAATGATCATACGTTCCTCGCGACGCGTGTCTCAAGTCGGGATTGAGACCACTAGCTGCCATGAATGTACTTCCTATGGTCTTTATCTTCTCGACATGTTGGAACTGCGGCCTTTCTAGTAATTCATCGAAATCAGCAATCAATTCGTTTAGAACTCTCAAATATTCTTTCCCCTTCAAGTACGACTCGTCGTACATTTCGTTAAAGTTGACTATGCTCGCGAATATAATACCGACGTCTTTATGATTTTCCGAATACTTCGCCGTGTTCTTTAACTGATCAGCCACGTGACGTGGTATAATATTATGGAGTAGCCAATCCGCTTGATTTCTCATGTTCTGAACCTTCTGCTTATCAAGATTTGCCACGACGTTACTATAAAAACTCAATCGGTAACTAATTTCAAATTCTCTATTAAGGAACCAAACGAGCATCAGCAGTAAAGCGACATCCAAGTAAAGTTCTGTCAAATGCATTTTGTGTCTCACTCCTTCAAATAATTCAGTTCCATTTCTATCCAACCAATCGTCGTATGTACCGTTCATCATATTCATGAAGGATAGATTCCTTGCAACGGC